GATTCAGAGGGCAATGAACTCTTCTCTCTCTGGCTTGTAGTGAAGTCACCTTGTGCAAGCATCTCAGCAAATGATAATCATCTGTGGGACAGGATACAGCACGGGAAAGAAGTCAGATGAGGGGAAAACTACTGATAACTTTCTCTTTGTCATAACCAGCTTCTCTATGTAGAAGCTAGTATGACAACAGATATTTTTCTCCCTGGTAAGAATCAGTGTATTGGTATACCAACATCTTGGAACACTCATTTTGCTACTGGAGAGGGGAGCTACTGGAGAAGGAAGAAGTTAGCAACCAATATTTTTCTTTTATATCCTTTTAAGAGGGCTCATATCAGGGACCGCATTGTGGCATGGTGTGTGAAGCCACTGTCCGCAGCACTGGCATCCCACATGGGCATTGGTTCAAGTCCCTGTTGCTCCACTTCCGATTCAGCTCCTGCAAGTGAGCCTGGGAAAGCAGTGAAGGATGGCCCAAGTTTGTGGGCCTCTGCACCCATGTGGGAGACCTGGAAGAAACTTCTGGCTCCTGATTTGACCTTGTCCCAGACTCAGCTGTTTTGACCACTTGGGGAGTGAACCAACAGAGGAAAATTATCTCTTTATCTCTCTCCCCCTATAACTCTCTAACTCTGCATTTCAAATAAATATTTTTAAAAAGAAAGCTAACATATATGAAAGTGTACACTGCAAACATTTTTTTTCAGTTTCCTAAAATTTAATCTTAAAATACTACTGTCTTCAGATACTTATCCTTTAATTAATTTCCTTTGGTAAGTATGCTGTTTTACCACATGTTGTTCAATTTCAAATTGTTTTGAATCTGGAGTTTAGTTGCAATTCTCCTAGCAAGAATTTCTTCAGTATAAGTTAAATCAAATAAAATCCATTCCCTAAACTTTTCTTTTAAAGAAGAATCTAAGTAAAAATATATCTGGATTGTAAGTTCTCAGTGTTGATTGGAAGATAGTACATTTATTCAGCAAACAAGAGTCAGAGTATTGTGTAGATTTCCCACAGTGTATTGTGAGATGGTGCATAAGGGAATACTGGGCTTATCTCTTTTCCAGACGAACTGTCTGATATTCTCCCACTCCCCTATTCGCCCAACAAAACAATCTTTAAGAGTTTGTACATTTGGTTCCAAAGGTGTTGAGAGTTTGAGGAATGCCCATTCTTCTAAGAGCAAACATGTTTTGTCTAGTGTGTATTAGGCATGGGCAAGGTCCAAGATGTTCAGTCTTGAGTATGATGGTAAGGATATGATGGTGGTAAGGTGGTGGTAAGGAAGGATCAGATATACAATTGACCTTGGAAGATATAAAACAAAAGTAATTCCCTGAGTGACTGTGACCTGATTTTAACTACTTAACGTATCTTGTAGTAGCTGTGTGACCTTGAAAAGGACAAAATTTCTGTAAGTCCCAGGCCGACATCTGTAGCAAGAAATCATACAATCATACATTCCTCCTTTGCCAAATCTTTATTGGGGTTGAATGAGGTATGGTAAAGTACCAGCCACATTGAAATGATTTAATACGTATTAGTTCTCTCCTCAATTATTTCTCCAGCCATGTATAAGAGTGAACTAAAAAAATAAAGTAAATTTAGGAAGGATACACAAATTATGGAGTGGTCCTAAGAGATTAATAAATTTTTTTTTATTTGAAAGGCAGAGTAACAGAGAGTGAGGGGGTGATCTTGCATCCACTGGTTCGCTCCCTAAATGGCCGCAACAGCCAGAGCTGGGCCAGGCTGAAGCCAGGAACCAGGAGCTTCATCCAGATTCCATACATATGTGCAAGGGCGCAAGACTTGGGCTGTTTTTCACTATTTTCCTAGGTGCATTAGCAAGGAGCTGAATCAGAAATGGAGCAGCCAGGACTCAAGCCAGCGTCTATGTGATATGCCACAATTGAAGGTGGTGGTTTAATACACTATGCCACAGTGCCGGCCCCAATGAATAAGATCTTTAGAGAAATTCTGAAATGACCCTCTGATGAGATAATCTCACTATGTGAAGTTTTCTTAGATAGGCCTATCTTTATCTCAGCCTCAACTCTTTACTCTTTAACATACTCACTGGGAAACATAAAATCAGACATTATTCCATTTGTTTTAAATTTATTTTCCCAAGTCCAATACAACTGATCTGTTCTCAGGATCCTTTACTCTTTCTTTGAATTAATAGACTTTCTCTTTGAGAAATATATTACTAATTCCATTTATTGTGACACAACTACATGCCAAGGACTTTGGCCTTATCGTGGTAGCACTTTGAACTGGATACTAGAATTATATTTATTTTATATGAATAGAAACAGAATTATAGAGGAGAAATAATTTGTTATAAATCACCAGTTTATTATGCAGGAGTGAATTAAGGTTTGTCTGCTACAGCAGCTATGCTGTTAGCAAATTCACCAAGAAATAGAGGACAAGAGCCCTTGCTTCTTCACTTCAAACACTCTTGAAATAATGTTGTTTGGCTGATACTCTCCTAAGCTGGCTGATCCTATGGGAGCAATTATGCAATGATCACTTGGGCTTCAGGGAAATGCTGAAGTTGGACTCTGTAAATCTGTAACTCCTAAGAAAATAATTGCAAATATGACCATGGTTAAAACAGCTTTTCATTTCCATGAAATACATGAGACTGTATGCAATAAATAAAGGCTAATTTTTCTGCCTGAAAACATAAATTCATATAAATGTGATCAGATTTAATTATGTCTGTAAGAAAGTCAGTAATTTCTTTTTTTTTAATTTTTTATTTAGTAAATATACATTTTCAAAGTACAGTTAATGGATTACAATGGCTTCCCCCCACTCATAATTTCCCTCCCACTCACACCCCTCCCATCTCTCGCTTCCTCTCCCATTCCATTCACATCAAGATTCATTTTCAATTATCTTTATATACAGAAGATCAATTCAATATATATTAAGTAAAGATTTCATCAGTTTGCACCCACACAGAAACACAAAGTGTAAAATACTGTTTCAGTACTAGTTACAGCATTACTTCACATTGGACAACACACTAAGGACAGATCCCACATGAGAAGTAGGTACAGAGTGACTCCTGTTGTTGACTTAACAATTTGACACTCTTGTTTATGCTGTCAGTAATCTCCCTAGGCTCTAGTCATGAGTTGCCAAGGCTATGGAAGCCTTATGGTTTTGCCGACTTCTATCTTATTCAGACAGGGTCATAGTCAAAGTGAAGTTCTCTCCTCCCTTCAGAGAAAGGTTCCTCCTTCTTTGATGGCCCCATTCTTTCCACTGGGATCTCACTCGCAGAGATCTTCCATTTAGGTCTTCCTTTTTTTTTTTTTTTTTTTCAGGGTGTCTTGGCTTTGCATGCCTAAAATACTCTCATGGGCCTTCAGCCATATCTGAATGCCTTAAGGGCTGATTCTGAGGCCAGAGTGCTATTTAGGACATCTGCCATTCTATGAGTCTACTGTGTATCCCGCTTCCCATGATGGATCGTTCTCTCACTTTTTGATTCTATCAGCTAGTATTAGCAGACACTAGACTTGTTTGTGTGATCCCTTTGACTCTTAGACCTATCAGTGTGATCAGTTGTGAACTGAAATTGATCACTTGGACTAGTGAGATGGGATTGGTACATGCCACCTTGAAGGGATTGTATTGGGATCCCCTGGCACGATTCTAACTCCACCATTTGGGGCAAGTCCTATTGAGCATTCCCAAAATGTACATCTCCTCCCTCTCTTATTCCCACTCTTATATTATCAGGGATCATTTTCCAGTTAAAATTTAAGCACCTAAGAATAATTGTGTGTTAATCACAGAGTTCAACCAATAGTACTAGAACAAAACAAACAGAAAATACTAAAATGTATAAAGTATTACACTGTACATCAACAGTCAGGACAAGAGCTGATCAAGTCACTGTTTCTCATAGTGTCCATTTCAATTCAACAGGTTTCCTCTGGTGCTCAGTTAGTTGTCGCCGATCAGGGATAACATATGATATTTGTCTCAATTATCAAACAGATTGTCATGGTATCTCAGTGCTGGTATTCAAGTAACCTTTGTGTAGTCACCTAATGCTATGTCACAAAGCTTGCATCATTCACACTTCACTTCATCACACAGGAATCTCATCACAAAAAATAAAAGTGAGAATAGAACAACAAACATTTTGAGACAGAATGAGAAAAGATAGAGCACGTAGCTTTCATTACAATATCGTGTCATAATTATTATACTTTATAATTACAGTTGTTAATCCACTATTGGCCCTAATGTATAAATTAAACTTTAATATAAGCATGCATGTATATAAAAATTTATATATATAAATTATATATATAAATATATTTATTTATATATATATAATTTATATATATAAATTTATAAATATATATTTATATATATATATTTTATATATATAATATATATATAATTTTATATATATAAATTTTTATATATATATTTTTATATATATATATATATATATATAAGGGGTTTGGTACTATCTGTGGTTTGTGGTTTCTGGCTTATATTGTCATTTGAGAACTTATCCCCTTTGGATATTAAGAGTGGAATAGTTTGAAATTGCTAGAGTTAATATTTCTTTTTCAAATAAGTTCTTTGTTTCCTTTTTTAGTTTTTGTGATTTATAGTTTTGCTTGATGTAGAGTTGATTTTGGTATAGAGTTACTTTGGTATACAAAAATAGCTGTTTGTGAGTTCTCAAAAATTTTATTCTGAAGTCACTAATTTCTGCAGTAAGAATATATAAGGAAAAAAACAGGTTTTTCTCATACATTGCTGATATCTGTGGTAAGAACAGATAGGAAAAACCACTATATATATATATATATATATTTATATATATATATTTCACTGATTATTTGAACTGTGTATGTGTCAATATGCACAAATAGAACAAAATTCACCAATCACATTACTTGACTTTCAAAGCATTTTGGTAAATATTATACAAATTAAATGACTAGTTAACAATTGAGCATTAATATTTGCTTCTCTCAGATTTTTTTACTTAGTTCATAACATTGGATAATTTTCATTGTCTAATCATACATTTAAGAAGTTATTTTGAATTCTATCCACAGTGTGAAATTTGATTCCCATTTTAGTTAATATTGTTTTTCCCATATAAGTTTAGAGTATTTTAAAAAGTGCAATATGCTCAGAAAACGTTTCATGGATACCCTGTATATAGATAGCTCTTCAGGCTTGACTTTTAAAGTTAACATCAGCTCATTAGTGTGCAAAAGCTCTGCATCTCATTGGAACACAGTAAGCCCACTGTAATGATCCAATGTCTTAATATGTTTTAAAACAAAAAACAAAACACTGTTTTAGGAATCTCATAACTGGGTTCTAGTCTTCGCTTTACTACTTGGTCACAAGGTTTTAGTTCATTGGTAATTTGACCAGGATGGATGTAGTTTTCAAATATTCTTTAACAGTTACAAAAATTTTCCAAACAGATTAAATGGGTAAAATGAAAGTGACTTGACTGAAACTGAAGGGGAGAGCTGGAGGTCAGAAGTTGCCTCATGTATGTCCATCTCCTCGTCTATTCCTCACCCCTTCAAAAGCAGCCCCCACAACAACTCCATGGAATAGCTTGAAAATACTGAAATGAATGATCTTTGAAGTTTCTTCCATATTTAGTATTTTATTATAAACTGTGATGACTACATTTATATTGTAATTTTTTTCTTATTTTTATTTTTGTTACACATTTTGCTTTGAATAGAGTGTGTTATACTTCATTAGAAGAGAGAAAGCTACCCCTTTATCTGTGATCAATTAAATGATCAGAAAAAAACTATCTAAATTCATTGCTTGAAGTCATTGGGGACATTTTGGCTGGCAGATAGAATATCTAAACTGTCAATTCAGTAGAGTAAAATGGCTCTGAATTCCAATGTTTTATATTGTGTATGTAAATATTTGAGAGGCCAATTTAAATGCAGAATTAGTTCTGATTATTTCTTTTCCTGGTGGGGAGAAAAGAGCATAGAGGTGAATGTTCATTCCGTTAAATTAGTGGCAGCTGATATAAAATTTAAGATACCTTTGAAATGTAGAAAATGTTCAATCTCTAGACCATCTGCAGCAAATTTACAGCTAGTACTCCTGCATCCCTAGAAACAGTTTTATGCCACAAACTAGGAATTTCTCCAAAGTTACAATTACATGATGCAAAACAGGTAATTTTCACCCCAATCTCGTGTTTTCATTCCAGGTCTTAGTTAATGCTGTCTTGATGGCTGCTGTTTGATGAATCAGCTTTCCTGTTAACTAGAGGTGCAGGGCCATCATCTAATGAAAACACTCCGTATTTTATGACTCCCAGGGCTGCCGTTCTGCATATTAAAATAGAATTTCAATCTCACTGTTAGAAATAAAATCAAACCTAGCATCTGTGGTTTGAACAGAACTGAGAAAAATGTTACTCATTTCATCTTAACAATATTTTTCATGTTAGACAGTATAAAAAAAGAGGCCCGGGATATAATTTTAAAATGCCTATAAATTAGAAATGAATTGGTAGAATCAGCACAATAGTTCAGTGCAAAGGTTACTTAGTTATATCAACAAATTTGCTGAAGTTTTCTGTTCTAGTTATCAGTTTATTAGAATACTGGTAAATCCTGCTGTTTCTCAAGCATTCCTGGTAGCAATGACTTCCATTCATTTTGCTGCAAGGTTTGAGCCTCTCTGACCACCCTCTAAATTTTCTTTTCTGTCTAGGAGTGATTGCACATTCGCATTTAAGAATAAGGAGAAATCGCTTCATAGCTCAGACTAAAAGTCAGAGCAACAGGTTATTGAAAGAAGTGCACCTGCTCAGTCACGTGGTTTCACCAATCATGCTCATAGCAGACATGAAACAGTAAACTTCTCATGGATCAATTAACAAACTACCAGTAAAGGAGTAATATGTACTGTGCTCAGCATTTGTCCATGCAATTTTTTTACCCCTAAACATTTTTCTCCCTGACTCTCTCCACCCACCCCTTTTTCTCATCAAACCTAGCATCTGTGGTTTGAACAGAACTGACAAAAATGCTGCTCATTTACTCATAACAATACTTTTCATGTTAGAAAGTATAAAAAAGGCCAGGATATGACTTTAAAATACTCATAAATCAGAAATAAATTGGTAGAAGTAAGCACAAGAGTTCAGTATGAGGGTCAGTTCATTATACAGACAAATTTGTTGAGTTTTATGTTCTAGATACAAGTTTACCAACATATTCACAAATTGAACTTCCTGCTCTCCTTCAAGTATTATTGGTGGCAAAGACTTCCATTCTTTATACTGCAATATTTGAGCCTCTCTGACCAGACATACAGACACACACACACACACATCATACACACACACAAAGATATACTGACAGTGTATTTCACTTATGAAAGAGTTTTTAAGGTTATGCCTTTATGTCTAAATTTTATGTATAAGGGTGGATACTGCAGCCCGTTAAGCCACTGCTTGGGGCACCAGGCCCATTGGAATCCTGGATGTTCCACTTCTGATCCACCTTCCTGCTAATGAATCCTGGGAAGCAACAAATAATGGCTTAAGTCATGGACCTCTGTTGACCACGGAGGAGACTTGGATGGAGTTCTGAGCTCTTAGGTTCAGCAGGCATCTGGGGTTTGAGCAAGCAAATGGAAAATCAATTCTCTCTCTCATTCTGACTTTCAAGTATATGAAAATTAATGAAATTTAAAAATTTGTTTCAAAAGACTAGTACAATACCAACCCATGGGGACTTCCAAAAGTTTACAGAAAAATGGAATTAAAAGATTGTTTATTTTAGGGGTTAACATTTGGTATGGTGATTTTTATGCAGCTTGGAATACTCACATCCCATATCAGACTGCCAGAGTTCAAGTCCAATCTCAGCTTTCAATTCCTGCACTCTTGCTAATGTGCACTCTGGAAGACAATAAGTGACAGTTCAAGTCATTGGTTTTCCTGGCTCATGGCTTGGGCCTGGTCCAGCATTGGCTGTTGGCAGACACATAGGGAATAAACCAACAGATGGGAGTTTTCTCTCTCTCTTTCCCTCACCTCACTTTTAAAAATAAATAAAATTAAATTAAGAAAAAATAAAATAATTTTAAGAAGTTTATTTTACTGCAAAAAATTTTTGAAATTTATGCATAGTGTTTTTGATAATATACTTTTTCCATTAGATTTTTGAAGATCCCATGTAGAAATACAATAACCACTATTAATTAAACATACACCATATCTCAAGTATCACACTAATTCTGTGCTGCGTCTTTATCTTGTTCAATCATCCCAACAACTCACAAAGTAATAGCCTCCATTTTGCAAATATAACTTAATTCCAAATACTTAGTAATTTATGCCAGGTCATAAAGCTAATAAGTATTGAAATGAAGATTTAAACTGTGGCATTTTTTTTTTTTTTGCAATTTACAAAGCCTATTCTCATAAGCTTTAAATCATCTTGCTTTATATAGCTTGTCGTATAAACATAGATGACTGTTACATCCAGAATTTAGATCTCCAGTCTTATGAAAGAAAATACCACAAATTCAAGTGGAAAGAAATGGCTCAATGTTCTATACTTGTTCTCATTCTCATTCTCTTTCTTCTCCTGTTGATTTTTCATCACCCTTCACCTTCTTACTCTTTCCTTCATATTTCCCTCATCAAAAGAGCCCTCATCACCTTTGACAGAATAATCTTCATTGTATTTAACTTTACAAAGTTAATTAATAAAAACACTTTACATATATTAGCATGTAATTATCAAACATTCTATGCACTATGGACTATTGTTATTCTATTTTGGAGATACAAAAGCTGAACTTGGAAAAAGTAAAGTTTCTCCTATAAAATCATACTCTCAAGATGATTATAAAATTAAAATAGATAGAACTGGGAAGTAAAGGAGAAAATGTTTATCAGTATTAAAAAAAAAAGAGCAACGAGTTTATAAAATTTCAGCTCAATTCATCTCTTTTACAAATCAAAGAGCACCCAGGAGAGTCTTGCAACCTCTTCAACATTAAACACCTGTTTCAGAGGCAGAGCATACATTATTTGATTCTGGAGTTTTGTCAGGAGATTTAGATGGTTTACTGTATTAAGTTTTGACCTCAAACACTCTTATAATTTAATCAGATGTTTTTAGATGCAATATTCTAACATGATACAACCTGAACCACATGCTGTCAGATCCCCTTGAATGTAACCCATCTTTCGGGGTTCCTCTGACTTTTTTGTGTTGCCCCAAAGTCTTTGAAGGGTCCAGGTTTTGACATTATCACCTCTTCATCTCCTCAAATGATGTACCTTCTTATAGGGATCATTATAAATATATTGTGCCCACTTGAATAATTCAGGAAAAGCTCCCCATGTCAAGATCCTTAACTTAACCATATCTACAATTTTTTTTTTTTGCAATATAAAGCGATCTGTGCATGTTCTGGGGATTAAAGAATGGGCACATTTAGAAGCTCATTATTCAGCATGCCATGTAATATTCATTTGTATTCAGATTAACTCTTTAAAAATTACATGGATAAAAATTATTTTGGGAAATGTATAATGGAATTAAGTACGGTCTTCTAAATCACTGTTATGATCTTTGAATCATAATTGAAATATTGTGATTTCCTCTTATCTACCAAATGGGAAAATTATCTTCCCAAGTATTGAATAACACAAAAATACTCAATAAATAAAGCAGTATTAGCAAAGCAAGATTTTTTGAAGCTCAACACATAAAACAGATTTTCCTTCAAAAAATACTCATTAATGGAGCTTATGTATTAACAGAATAGCATTTTCATGTAACAAGATTATCTATTACTTAGGCTGCTGCTGTACTTACTGTCTTCTTTTTCTATTCAAATGCAATGCATTATATTCACATTCAGTTGTATTAACCACAATTTCCAATGTACTTATTTATCTGATGCAAGGCTAATGTGGTATCAAGAAATTTTATGGAATTAGAATTTTTTGTTATTAAACAAGAGTTATAACAACACCATCAAAGCTTTGTATTTTTGTGATACAAAGAAGAGGAAAAAATTAAAAGCTATTATAAATTAGGGTAGAATATTCTGATAATGATTTTCTCACAAGACACATCACATTGTACAGATTACAAACTGGTCCAGTATGCCAGAAAACTGTATCTTTAATTGGTATTTATAGCCATCTTTCCAACCTCTGAAAGATATTAGCTAATAAAGGAGAACATAGCTTGCATTATTTAGGGTCTGAGTAATTAGGAAGCTAGTTTCCAGACAAAACTGATTTAATTTATTATTGGAAAAACGTAAGATATCACATTAACTACGTCTTTGCTTTCTGAAAAACACCCATCAACATTGTAGTTAGATATTTGCTGCAGTATCTTCTTAACTGAATTGTTTGCAATATACAGCAGACTTGTTTTTCTTTAATCTGAATTTAAATAATGATCTTTACCAACTGTGTGCAAAACATTAATGCTTTCAGTTTCCTTTGGCATAAAAGAAAGTGGCTTATGTATTACAGACCACATCTAATTCTTAGTTTCTCATTCAGCCAATAGCAGCATTTGCTATTACATGCACTGAAATTAAAAAAGTGCTGACCACGGAAAAAATAAATTAAGGAGAATTAAATACTCTCTACCAGATGGATAGAGTCAATTAGTTATTAGCTTCAGTGAGATTAAAAAAATGTACTCTACGGTTGTTTAGGATTTTGTTTTGTGTGTGCATGTTCCGTGTGATTGCACATACACATCTATGTTAGGGTTCCTGAGCAAACTGACACTGTACGGACAGCATACTGTGTAGCAAATTGCTTCATCTAAACACTAATGCCCTGTGTCTCGGTGGAGACAATAAGAGGTATATCCACATTTTGATTGTAAGGACAAATTTTTAGTGATTCTTTAAACTCCAGTCCAGTTTACTTTATGATACAGCTTTCTATCATGTGTAAAATTCTTAGCTTAGATCAAATAATTTCGAAGTTACATAAAGCATAGCTTTTTCTCATAATTCAAGTACAATTTAATAGCCCCATTATGTAATTTAAGAGGTACTGGAGAGACCTTACAAGGATAATCACAAATAACTCATTTTCTTAAAAGTAAATGTCATCAAACTGAAGGAAAACTGTTATGGTCATTAGAAGATACTCAAGAGACATTAAAAGTATGTATGGAATTTGCTTAGGTTCCAATTTTAACAAACCACTGTAAGAAAATATTTTAAAGCAAAAATGAAAAACACACTGAGAAAAAGTGAGCAGACTGAATATTAGGTAACATTGCAGAGACAAATAACTATGTGGTCTAATTTAAAAAAAAAAACATAAAGTATAAAACATGAATTGGCAGACCTGATTTGGGTTTCTGATAAAAGTAGGCATTGGGTAAGATTACAAATTCCTGCTTTTGGAAATTTTTATTAATATGAAGAGAACAGATTTCACGTATTTCATAGATAAAATTCTAAGAAGATAATATTACTTCCTTCTCTCTCTCTCTTTTTTAGATATTTATTTATTTGTAAGTCAGAGTTACACAGAGAAAGAATAAGATGCAGAGAGAGAGAGGGAGAGAGGCCTTCCATCCGCTGGTTCACTTCTCAGTTGGTCACAATGGCCCTAACTGAGCCGATTCGAAGCCAGAAACCAGGAGTGTCTTCTGGGTCTCCCACGTGGGTGTAGGGGCCCAAGGACTTGGGCCATTCTCCACTGCTTTCCCAGGACATAGCAGAGAGCTGGATTAGAGGTGGAGTAACCAGGACTCAAACCGGCGCCCACATGGGAAACCTGCACTTCAGGCTATGGCTCTACCCTCTAAGTCATAGCGCCAGCCTCACTTCCCTCCCTCAATCCCCACTCTTTCCTTCCTTTGTTTTCTCTTTAATTTTTGCAACAATATAATTTCAATTTACTTTATAATCATAGGCTTGATGCACCACTAGCCACAATGGTCAACATAAAAAGTAGAAATGCCAACCATTCGACACAGATATAGACAAGGCCTTAAGACACTAATCAAAACATAAGATACTATTTTTATTCTTAAACATTTTTGTACTTTATTTTAACAATCACACCACAGAGAAAACATGATATTTGTGTTTTGAGTACTGATTTAGTTGATTAAAATAAATTGCACATACACTACTTTCCTACAAAAAATTGCTATAATCTCTTTAATCTTAAACTATTTGACTTTTTCTGCACAATTTGATACATAAGAAAGGTGGACTTAACAGGATGTCTTTGACTATGTTATGCAAGAAACCTGTCTGTGTTTCATTGTCATCATCTGTGAAGTGAAAAATGACATTAGCAACTACAGTTGCAATTGCAGGGAAGATTTAATGAGAGAATGTCACAGACTGGAAATAGCTTAGAAGAAACAAATTAGAAGGATCATCTGAAACTGACAATCAAATTAAGGCACAATTTAAAGTTGCACAATTTCTTTCTATTTCCTATCATGTGATGTTGGGAGGAGGCTGAAATCAGAAGAGCAATGTATTGTGACATACTTTGAAATCCATAAGACCTAGTTTGAAATCCAGAGACATCACAAAATTCACTATTTAGGTTTCTCAACATCAATACACCACCTACAATCAGAAAACGTATTACAGACTCCTGTCACGCTGTTTGCTCAAAACCAAACTAACATATTTCAAATCATCCTGGTGAATCAAGCAACATGTCTATGAAAAACTTGATTTTTAACACTGTTAACAAGGGAAAAAATATAAATACAATCAGAGGTACAAACCAGAGACTCATGGAGATCCAAAAGAACAAGAAATAATTTCGAGCCTGAGAGAACAATGAAGGTTTCATGGAAAAAGGAAACTTTGAAATTGGCCTGTAGAAGGCTTGTGATTTTGACACATGAAACTGAGGATAAAAAGAGGGTA